TGGCAGGCTGGTCCCTCCTGTGCCTTGTCCCCAGTCTGTGATGGCCCCGGGGCCTCAGAAGCGAGTCCTCCAGAGGATGCTGGCTTGTTTACACGTTCAGGTCTGGCACACGAGCTGCCTGCTCTCCAGGCCTCCTCCCACCCCTCGTGCTAAATCAGTCCCCAAGAGGCGAGGCCCCCGGCTTTACTTCCTTCCTAGGACCCACACTCCGGACTTAGCTCCTCTGCTCCGTCTTTTCACTTGTGTGTTGTCCACCACATGCCCCTGTCCTGCCCTGACTGGGCGTGAGGTCGGGAAAGGCAGGGGCTCCAGAGCCCAGAGCAGGCTCCCACCGCCGCTGGTCATGCAATATGGTGCCATCCCCCTGCCCCGCACAGGGCGCACCCCCAGCCCCCGCCCAACGCACCTTCCACCTTCATGATCTGGTACGTGTCCTGGACCACCTTGTACTTGGGCTCGTTCCGGAAGGCGTGAGCCCAGGCCTGGATCAGATACAGAATCTTGTTTCGGACGTTTACTTCCACCTGCCTCTGCATAGAAACGAGGACGGAGGAGGAGAATGGGAGACACGGAACACCAGAGATGTCTCAGCATGAGGAAGCTGCAGGAAGACTGCACCACTCTGAGCACATGGGGCGGGCAGAGGCAGGGAGGGCCCCCCGCATGGGGCACCAGGGCCATGCATGGACCCATTATCCAGGCCCAGCCCTCTCCATGAAGCCCGGTCCCTGAGGACAAACTTGCCACAGCGGTGTGCCCACTCAGGGCCTGACTCTTCTTTAATGCCCTGGGAAAAGCTGGGGAAGCCCCGAAGCCCGGTTCCCCAGGCCCACTACCCTATAACCACCTGCTTCTTCCTTCCCTGCCCCCAGGAGCTTGGTCAATGTCAGGGGCCCCCGAGTCTAAGCCGGTGTGGCTCCAGCAAATGCCAGGCTCCATCAGGCAGCGCCCACCAGACCCATGCTGAGGGAGCAGATGTGCAGCTGGCCGCCCTTCCTCTGGCCACGGCCAGCCTAGGTGGGCGGGGGCAGGGGGGCAAGGGGGCGGCTGCCCCAGGAGCCGCCCCACGGGCAGAGCTACCGCTTCTACCAGCTTAGAGCATCGTCAGTCACGTGCCTAGAGCTCTCCCGGGAACGCTCAGGAAGATGGCAGGATGAGAAAGTTGCTCCCGGGAGATGCCAACTAGACTCACCCACTAGGCTTCTGGTTCTTTCCCTGTGATCTGTGTCCGGTCGGTGGACCCCTCTTTCCTATCGTGACCCTCCCTCTCCAAGGGGGGACTGACTGGCTTAGACCACATGCAGCACAAACAGGACACAATTGCGGGACACGAGAAGCGAAGGGTCTGACCCTTCTACCCTTTCAGCCTGGATGCAGGGTCCCCAGTCAGGGCCCAGCTCAGATCCCAGATGGGCTCTCAGCCACGTGAGGCCACGGACACCCACACAGGCCAGGAAGCTGTGGCCCCGCCCCCCAATGTAGCAGAGACAGTGTCTGGGGCTCCGCTCCTTAGCCGCCGCCCCGGTCGCCTCACCCCTGTGGGACGGGTGCACCCTTGTACCGCCCTCTCTGCGTCACACAACCTGCTGGTGTCACCACCCACATCACAATCCCTGCAGGTGGGCAGTGCCAGCCTGCGGGGCCATGGACGGTGGCCTGTGCAGCATTCTCTCTCGGGGCGCTGGAGGACTGTCCCCCCTCTACAAATGGACGCTGTGAAACCCACTCCCAAATGTGTCCCTGCTGTGTCGCGTTCCCCCAACCTCCCTCCGTAAACACGTCGGACTCACACATCTCCCTGCTCAGAATCCTGGCTCTGCACATGGGACCCACCCAGCCACCCTTCGGGGCTCCCCCCAGGCCTCTGCCCACACCCTCTGCTCACAGCCACCCACACATGCACAGCTCCTTCCCCTCCTTCTCTGCAACCCGGGGAGACTCCAAGCCCTGCCCCTGGGAAGCCTTCCCTGACCCCCCAGGAAGAGCAGGGTCTCCTCTGCATCCCCAGCACAGCACTCCGGTTCGCTTCCGGTAAAGCCCCGACATCATCGAGCTGGGATTCGGGAGGTTCGGGGACCACCAACACCCACCTTCCTGTCCTCAGTCCTGCCTGGCCCTGCCACCGCCTCAGGGGCCAGCAGAGCCCCAGAAAGGCACAGGCACGGCCTCGGAGTAACTGTGTCCTCCCCACCGTCTGGGCCTTACTGCTTCCCCTCCAGGGCCCACCTTCAGCAGCTCCTTCAGCTCCTCCATGGTCTGCTTGTTGGCCACCTCATCGTGGACAGTCTGGCCGCAGTTCTTCACCACAGACTCCATGACCTGCAGGACCCAAAAGGGAAGTCTCGAGCCCCCGGTCCAGCCAGGGCTAACCCGCCTTGGACAGGCCCCTCAGGCAACCTAGCCCATCAGGAGAGTCCCTGTGGCAGCTCCAGCGCTGTATTGGCTCCTTCTAACTCCATTTCTTACCACCAGGGACAGAGACCAGAATCAACCTCAGGGCCCTGAGTCTGTAGCTTCAGGTGGGGCAGCTGAGGCACTGTCCTCCATCAGGGCTGCTCCTACCTGCCCTCATGCCCCAGGCAGCTGGGCAAGGCCCCAGGGTCATGCTGTCTCTGCCGTCTGGACACTGGGGCGGCAACCCTTGAAGTGGCCAGAGTGCAGGGATCTAGTTACCTCTAGAGCGTACAACGCCACGTGAGGATTCTTGTCGTTGACTTTCTTTTTGATGGAACTCACGGCATATTTGGCTCTGAAAAAAGAGATGTTGGTAAAAGAAAAAAGAGAAAAAACATTATCTTTAAACCCAAGTTGAGAAAACCTCTGCCACCCTTTGGTCTTCAAAATCCTCAAGCAAATATTAAGTACCTCCAAGCAATACAGAGAAAACCCTTTCCTTGTCCCCAGATCCCCAAAACCCCAGCGTGGAGACCACTCAATTCTCCTCCTAAGACCTAATGTGGTCGACGTCCATCAGGGCAGGATACTGCGGGATCCTGGAGCATCAGTGGGCACCAAGGGAGCTGGGAGTGCCATGCTGCCACACCCTTGCTTCTGAGCAGGCACAGACCCTCCTCACTTACTGTGTGTCCCCCTGGCGGATGAGGTCACAGATCTGCAGGATGGACTCCCAGTCAGTCTCCAGCAGAAGCTGGCTGGTTGCTTTGTCTACGGCAAAAACACACCATTACTGGAGCTTGTCCTCTAGGATTCCCTGGTCGGTCCCAGAGCTCAGCAACAGAGAGAAAGGACCGCCTCCTTCCCATTTAAAACATTTGGACTGAACGGAAAACCCCGTGAAAATCCTCTTGATGCCCGATAATCATGAGAGTACTGTCCTTTCCAAAAAGCAAACAGCTTAAAAAATACTAACGGCACACCTGCTGTACACTTGATCCAAACGCTTTACGTGATCACCGAGTTCTTAAACAATCTCCTGAGCAACGTCCTAGTCCCATCGTCTTCACGACAAAGACAACGAAGCAGAGAAGTGAGGTCACTGCCCAAAGTCACACAGCTTGCCGGGCCAAGCCAGGCGGGGTTTCACACTGCACTCTGCCACCTCATCCCTGAGTCTCTGGTTTTCCCCACGTTTAACCTGTCCAATGAGATCTCAGCGGGGGCAAGGCTGGAAAAGATGCAGCCTGGACTCCAGTCTTCTGCTTCAAGTGTTTTGTGGGATGAACCCAGGAATGACCTCCAGGAAGTATTCTTCAAATAACACCTGTGCTCTCTTGTATGTCACAGCTGGCTCACACACACTATGCTCTGCTCCCCCAGCCCTGCTGGCTCTCCTCCCTGGAGACACACCGGGGGTCTAACAAGGTGCGTCCACACATAGTACTGATGTGGTAGTAACTTCTGGATTGATCTTTGGAGGACTGAACCACCCCTCAGCATGCATGTTCTCAGAACAAGGAAGGTGCCTCATATGAGGTCTCCTCCAAAACCACATTCAAGGAAAAAGCAGGGGAGGCTCAGACCAACCACTGGAGCACCCAGAGCACCCACTGCAAACACAGAGCCCACCCAGTAGCATTGGGGGTGGAGAACATGCCCATAAACATCCATCTTCCCCTTGCTAAAATTGGTGACCTCCAGAAAGCTCATAAAGGATCAGCTATCCACGTCTGACAAACAGAAAAACCACCTCCCTAAACCACTGGGGCCTTCCCGGAGCCAGTGGGGGAGCCAGTGGGGACACGGGGCGGGCCTGCCTCCCAGGGAAGCAGAGCTCAAAGAGCCTGGCAGGTCCCCAGGAGGACACTACTGGTTCCACCCTTTGGAGCCCAAAGTTTGGGGCACCCTCAGTTCCCCTGCAACCTAGAATTTTTTGGGGGGAGGGGATCTATTTGACTAGGTCACCGTTTCCGTGACTCAGGACTCGTGGCCCGCTCAGTCAGGCTTGTGGCTCCGGGGGGGGTGGGGGTGGGGTGATCCTTTCCCTGGGGACCTGCCCGCCCCGGCACAGGAGCAGAGCCTCGAGCACGGTCGCCGCGAGCGCGGGCCCAGCCCCTCCGCGGACCCTCACCCACTGGGGTCGGAGCCCGCGCCCAGCGCCCGGGACTGCCAGGTCCCTACACCGCCGGCGCGCCCACCCACACCCCGGGCCCCGGGGCCCCGGTTGCTTTGCGGCCGCCCCCCGGCTCTGCTCCCGGGCCGCTGGCCAGCCGCGAGGGGCGGGGGCCGCGTTACCTAGGAGACGCTCGAAGGTGCCGCTGCCGCGCCCCATGGCGACCCGGGACCCCGACCCGACGCCGCTGCGCTCTCCGCTGCGAACCGGCGCGCCCCCGACTTCCGCTTCCGCCTTTCCCTCGGGCGCGCGCACGCGCGCGTCACCGGGCAGGGCCGGGCCGCGAGCCGCGAGGAGGCGGGCTTTTTTGCTCGCCCAGACGCTGTGCGCCGATTGGGCTGCAGGCTGCACATTTTGAGACGGTGAGCGCCGAGAACCAATGAACAGCTCGGACGTGAGCCTATCCAATGAGAGCGGGGTGGAGGGCGGGACTTGCGCCGAGCTACGGGTCCCGGGTGGAGTCAGGAGCCGTGATGTGTCTCCTTCTGGGGGCCTCGGGCGTTGGGAAGACGCTGTTGGTGAAGAGACTGCTGAATATCCTTCCGCGCCGGGCGGGGGCCAGGAGTGGGGGGGCGGGCAGGGGACCGGTGCGGGCGTCGGGGTGCTCCCGGGGGAGCGGGAGGGGTCGCGGGAGCGGGGTGCTGGGTGGGTCGGGCGGGTCCGGCCGCCGCCCGCGTTCTCTGCCCGGCTCGGGATCCTTGACTGCCCACACAGCTGAGCTCCGGGGATGGGAAGGGCGATCTGGGCGATCCTCCCCCGACGCGGCCCACGGTAGGCCGCCCCTGTCCCGCAGGTTTAGCAGAAACGGGTACCCTTGACGGTTTGCAAAGCGTTTTGGGTGGTTTTAAGTGGAAGCTGGAGTCCGGCGGGTCAATGTGTTAATGCAACCCTCGGGAGGTGAGCGGGGTGTCACGGGAAGGAGCCTGCCTCCTGGGACAGAGCTGCGGTGGACGTGGGTGTATGGCAGGGGCCCCGAGCCGCCCGCCCCTCACACTCTTCACACTGCTTTCTCTGGTCGCCCCAGAGGCGAATCCCACTGATGGGTGTTGGAGCGCGGCCACAGCCAGCTCTGAGGGTTAGGGCGTGGACCTTTGGAAGCTACTTTAGCCTTCCTTGCTTAGGGTTGTGCTTTAGGGTTTGAGCCCTCGAGAACGGGCGTATTGTGTAAAGGGCAGTGCATGTTCCTCTCCAGGAGTTCCCAGTGGGAAGGAGCTTGTGTCCTTAATGCTTCCTGGTTTTTTCCACAGGTGGGCACCGACCTTACTGACATCGTGGTTCCAAGAAAGATTACCATCCGGGAGCTGGGGGGGTGCATGGGCCCCATCTGGCCCAGCTACTATGGAAACTGCCGTTCTCTCCTGGTAGGTCATGATCCCGTGAACTTGTTTAGGGATCGTGCAGTGCTGGACCTCACTCCGTACAGGCTGGAGTTTGGGTTCCTGGGCTAGTCAAGGACTTCCTTTTGGGAATGCAGCTTGATCCCTAGTGCTCCTGTTCCAGAGCTGACGTGAAAGCTCATGCGGGGCTCCGGACAGAAGTGTTTTTTCTCTGCCAGCAACATGCTTGCTCTCTGAGATGTTTCTCTGCATGGGTTCTTATGGTTGACTTCCCCATGCCTTGTCCCATGCTAGCAAGGCCTGTGCCCCAAATCCCAGGACCCGTCCTGGGAGCACGGATGGCCACGCCAGTAGAGACCCGTGTGGGTGGAAACAAGTGACAGCAGGTCACGCTCGTGCAGCTCATCTCCCTTTACTTCTGCTGACCCCAAAGTTCTTTGTTTCAAAGTCATTGTGCTCTTCTGAGCCAGGTCACGACACCCAAAGAAGAGGGTTCGGGAAGGACGGTCTCCCTCACAGGTGGCACTGGTTTGCATTTTTTCTCCCTAGTTCATGATGGACGCGGCTAACCCCACTCAGCTGTCTGCCTCCTGCGTGCAACTTCTGGGTCTCCTTTCTGCGGAAGGACTAGCAGAAGCATCGGTCTTGATCCTCTTCAATAAAATGTACGGGTCTGTCATCCTGGAGGAGTGTGGGGGTGCCTCCCCCCACGAGGAGTTCCCTGGAGCGAAGCCAGGAGGGGGTTCGTGGGGGGGGGTACAGTGGGGGTTGGGATCGGCTTGTGGCAGCCCACCTTGACAGGGCGCTTCTTCCGCTGTAGCGATGTGCCCTGTTACATGACCGTGGAGGAGATGAAGTCCTTGATCAGACTCCCGGACATCATTGCCTGTGCCAAGCAGAGCATCAGCACGGTGGCAGTCAGCGCTCACAAGGGCACCGGCTTGGCAGAGGTGCTGCACTGGCTCCAGGACACCCGGGGGACTGACGGCTGACAGCTGCCCCGCAGGAGGAGACCACGATGGGCCGGCCCTGGGGAGGGCCCGAGCGCCGCCCTGCTTGGCCTGCGGTGATCTGGATGACCCAGCACAAGCCTAGGGGGTGGGCTTCCGGCCTGAGTTGCAGGGACGGGTAAACTGAGGAACCCTGGTTGCAGGAAGTCCTGATAGCTGGCCTCCGAATGGAAAGATCGTCCCCAGGGCTGGGAGAGGACAACAGGCTTGCAGGGTGGCTGGGCGACCTGCTCCCATCCCGGGATGTATTCCCTTCCCGCAGGTGTTTGGACTGCACAGCCCCACAGGGCTCTCTGTAGAGTTTCTGACGGGCTGATGATGTGACCCCCACTGTATGAGGCCGTTGTCATGGAAAGAACTGAGCCTGGAATCAGAACGAGAAGGGTGTTTTCATTAGTTCATCTGCTTAGTGCGCGTTCGTCGCCGGGGAGGGCATAGGGATCCCGCAGGTAGGCGAGAGTGGGGGCAGCTCTGATAGAGCATGGGAGGTCCTGGCAAGCTCACCCTGATTTCAGCTGAGGGGGTTTGTGGGAGGACAAGGGTGTATTCGTGTCCTAGGGCCTCCATAACAAATTGCCACCTGGCTTAGAACAACCTAAACTTAAGCTCAAAGTTCTGGAGACCAAAAAACTGACAGGAAAGTGTCAGCAGGGTTGGTTCCTTCTGGAGGCTCCGAGGGAGGATGCATTTCTTGCTTCTTTTCTGGCTTCTAGTGGTTGCTGGTACTTCTCGATATAATTTGGCTTGTGACTCGCAGAACTAAACCCCTGCCTCTGTCTTCATTTAGGGCCCACCCTAAATCCAGGATGATCTTGAGATCCCTCGTTCCATCTGCAAAGACCCTTTTTGGAAATACGGTCATGCTTGCATGTTCCCAGGGTACAGGGAGAGGTCTGCGTGGGGCTACTGTTCAGCTCACTGCGGTCGGTTAAGAAGCCCCTCCTGGGTGTGGTTGTGCGTTTTCTGCAAGCGGCTTTCTCCATCTCAGCTGGCAGTCGAGGCCAGTTGGGCCGCGAAGGAATGCCGGGCATCTGTGCTGTCCCGGCGTGCAGCGCAGCGGCCCGGCCTCAGCCGTGGGGGTTTCCAGTTGGCCCCGTTGTTGCAGGGATGTGTGTTCACGCGGGGGTTGTAAATGATGCCTCAGGAAAGCTCTCGCAGAGCCTGCAGGGCTACAGGGGCTCCAGCCCCCCCCAACCCCCCCACCCTGTGGAAGCGCTCCTCTCTGGGAAGGTCGCGCAGCCGCAGATGCGAGCGGCCTCCACCCCAGGGGTGCAGTCCTTGTGGATTTCAGACAACTTGGCACCCCCGCTTCAGAGAACTTCGACACTGTGCGTGCTCAGCAGACAGGCACCTGGCTCCGTCTCTGGGGGTGGCCCCCAGCACGGGGCTCCTCTGATTTGGGCCTGGTGACATCTCACGGTTAAGGCAGCCTGGGCCAGGTTGGTGAGTCTTCAGGACACTCTGACAGGCCTGCAGTGATTTTATCCTCCGTGTGAGCTATGAAGCTGGTTTTGAAAGGCAAACCCCCTCCAGCCACGATGCCTTTCCACCTTCCTGCTTTCGTGCCACGCTCGGCCATGGGTCCGGGAGCGTGTTTCTCAGGGGCTGCGTTCACCCCGGTCTTGCCGTCCTGCCTACATCCTGGAATCCTACTGCGGGAAGCATGCCAACCACCGAAGGGGCGGCCGCGCTGCCCACCCCACTGGCACCTGTGATCTGCCAGCACAGTGGCAGCCAGGGTCCCGGGCACCCGACGCGGGGCACAGGGCCCCCCCCCACAGAAACACACCCCTGAAACGCTAGCCCTGGTCACAAACACAGCTTCAACTCAAGTTTTTAATTTGGAAAAAACCAAACACAAAACACTGTAAAGGATGCAAACAGGGAAAGGCAAAAAAGGATCCCATGGAAGCACACTGCCCCACACTTTCTGTAGGGCCACCATGGCCAAGGCTGAGACGTGGTAGTTCCCGTGCTGTCCGAGCCCGAGGGAGAAGCCGGGTGCTGTCCTCACAAGGATATGAGCAGCAGGACGCTCTCCTTCATGTTCCACTGCCGAGGACCCTCCAGTATCAGCACCCCGCACCCAGCGCCCCACAGCTAATCACACTGGTAACATCTGGGTGCTCCCTCCTTTGGCTCTGGTGGGAGAGTCAAAGCTTGCCAGGCCCTGCTGTTGGCAGGAATTCCCCACGTAACCCTTTCAGCCTCGGGAAGGTCCCGGGCCAGGGTTCTGTCCTTGCCCTCAAGCTGCTTCAGACCTGCTCTTCTTTTCCCCAAAGACTTGAGAACACAAACCTCCTCTCAAACCCACTGGGTGTGGGTGGTGTCCTGTCTCCATATCCCAGTGAAAGCCTGGGTGGGCTGCACCTGCCTCTGCAGGGACGAGGTGCCAGGAACAGGTCCCGGTGGCCTAGACCCTGACCCCCGCCCCCCCCACCCCCCGCCTCCGGCCTATGCTTCCAGCTGAGCTGCACTGTTAAACACACGGAGCTTCAGTTAGATTCAGCTGAGCAAATCTGCAGTGTCTCCAGCAGACTGGCGTTGAAGGACAGGATTATGGGATCGTCCCCCCTAAAGCGGCCCTGGGTTATGTGAGCCTGGACCTGTGTATTCAGAACACAGCTGCGATGAACGATGCTAGGGGTGCCCGACTGGCTGTGTCCCAGATGTGCTGGCCACTCTACGGACACCTGGGACAGATCATGCTCTGTGAGGGACAGCCCAGCAAATGGTCACTCACAGAAAAGCCCTCTTAGGGAGAAAAAACGGGAGAGCAAAGGCCCAGAGCCCTCTTCTGCACTGGAGAGCGAGTACTTGGAGGGCCTGGGAGTCCCAGCATGTGTTCCAGGCCAGCTACGTCCTCCCCAAACCCAGGTGTGGAGGCCCTGGTCTTGCCGTCACAGATGCGTCTCTGCCTTCCTCCTGGAAGCCAAGTGGGGGGAACAGGGCGGCTGCGGTGACTGAGCTCCCTGCCGCTTCTTTAGCGCCCTGTAGGCCTGCACGGCCCGCTCTCTCTCCTCCCCAATAATCCGCTGCCGGGCCAGTGACGTGGTCAGAGGCTGGGACACGCCACCAGGGCTCAAAAGCATCCTCAGCATCAGCGATTTCTTCCCAGGCTAAAGAACAGAGATGGAAGGTTGAGGCACAGTTGGGGAAAGAGGAGAGATAAGAAAGGGCCCATGTTGGTCCTCCAGCTGTATGCCTAGTGAGAACGTGGCATCCCGCGTGTAGGCCCCGGACCACACAGCCCTGGGGGACAGCCAGGGCAGCTGCCCCTGCTTACCTGACCCCGACTTGTGCTTGTCCTGGGCTGGGCGGTCAGCTCTGGGGGCTGCAGGGCAACCTCGCCAAACTGCACCGTGTCTGGAGAGGCAGAGGAACACAACTGATGCCTCTGGCCACGCGGCCACCCATCCGCTGCCCCCCCACTGCCGAGGCACAGGCCCGGGGCCCACACGGTCACTTCAGGAGGACCTACCTCGGAACAGCTCCTGCTCCAGCTCTTCTGCGGCCTTCTCCTCCCTCCGCCGCCGGACTCTATCCAGCCGCCGTTTCTGGAAGCTGGGGAAGAAAGCACAGTGCTGTTCAGATTCCCCAAGTCTCATCTCACGGGACTCAGAAGGCGGAGATCACCCATGCCCAGGAGGTTGCCCCACAGCAGAGCCCAGCGAGCTCCTGCCAAGTCCCCACTCTAGCGACCGCCTGCCCCTCACAGCCGGGTGCTCAGAAGAGCAGGCCTCCGGGGTTCCAAGGCCACATTCTTGGGGGGGGGGGGGCGACTGTGCCCCCAGAGCACCTCTGACGGCGTCTGGAGACATTCTGGGTTGTCCCAATGCGGGGGGTGCTCCTGGCACCTCGGGTAGAGGCCAGGCTGTCGCTCCACACCCTGAGCGGCCCCCACCCCAGACAATCTCTGGCCCCACGCGTCGCCTGGGCTGCTGCATCTGAAGGGTCTCGCAGAGCAGCGCTGTGTTTGGGGGGTGGCTGTGGCCCCGGATGGTGCGTGGTTCAGGTTTTCTGTGATGTACTTTTCGTCGCTTGGCCTGACCACAAGCACAAAGAGCGCTCAGATGCGGCAGCGCCACGGGACCGCCAACCATCTCCAACTCCCACAGCTGTGACAGACACTCCCGACGAAAGCTTGGGTCCGCCCATCTCAAAGGCTGCAGCTGTGGCAGAAACATCTCAAAAAGCCCTTGTTTGTCAAAACCACCTCCCCGCCCGTGCCCACAGGCCCAGGGAGGTGGCACAGGGCTTCCTTCCCAGACTTCTCCAGGGCTGAGGGGCAGGGGAGCTACAGCAGGCGGTGGGCTCCCTCCTGGTGCCAGATGCCGCCCTCAGGAGCCCTGCAAGGACTTCATCCGAGCCCCCGCTGGAGATGCCGGTATCCCCGCTTTACAGATGAGGCACTGGAGCTGAAAGAGGTCGCAGGACTTGTGTGGACGGCACAGCTGAAGGCCCTCAAACTTCTTTCATAGAAAGGACCCCAGTCCAGGTCCTCGAGGAGGTGGTGTCAGCCAGTCAGAAGCAGGGGAACCCCAGAGCTGCGTGGGATCCCCCAGTGGCCAGCAAGCCTTCCTGAGGGACCACCAGCCTCATCTTTTCCCCTCTCTCTATTGCAACTGGCCAGGGTGGGCAGCAGGCCCTTGACCTCATCTGGCTCTTGGGCCCCTTTGATGCTTTCCCAGAGAAAGGCAAAGACAAATCTGGCCCTTCAGAGTTCCGTGGGCTCGGAGACTCCCTGAACCCCCAGGGTTGAAAAGCTCTGACGTAGAGAAAAACAGGTTTTCACTTCTCTCTGTGCTCCCCCTGAATCGGGGTGGGGTGGGACTCCCCCAGGAAGAAAACACTATCGATGCAGAGAACGGTCAGGGGACCCCCAACCCCACTCCACTCACGCTTTCTTCCGCTCCGACTTCTTTCTGGGAGCTTCCTGCACCTCGGGCTGCCGGGCCACCTGGTTCTTGCTGAGGAAGAGCACGTGCTGGGCCTCCTCTTCCATTCGCTGGATATAGGCCCTGTCAGACTCCCACTTCCTCTGCTGGAACTTGGGGACAGCGATGTCCGGCTCGGCTCCTTTTGCTTCCTTCTCCAGCGTCTTTCTGAAGGCTGCCTGGGCTGAGACCAAAGGGAGAGGTCAGGCGGTGTGGTGCCAGGCTGGCCAGGGCCACAGGGAAGGAAGACCAGACTCAAGTGGGGGCAGATCGGACACCCATGTGGATGGGAGCCCCACAGCCCACTGCTGCAAGTCACAGATGTCCACCACAGCTTGGTTGAGAAAGAAAATAGGAAAGAACCTGAATGTTAATCATCAACGGGGGACTGGTTGAATAACTACCCTATCTTCATGCGAAGACTTCACTGCACAAACCCAGAACATTACGCAATGCACAGAATGAACATGTAGCTTTCCTATCCTAAGGATGTGAAAATGTGCAGGATATTTCTCTTGGGCAGGCACAGCAGAAAATGAACAGCGCTTTCTTTCAGGGCAAAAGAGCAGGATTCAGAGACAGGGAGGGAGGCCGTGCCGTCCATCATACCGTACACCCGTTTGCTTTACCACGTATGAGTTTATGTCTTAAATCACCAAAAACAAGAGCCAGCTCCGTAAAGCACAGTTCAAACTGTGGTTTCTTCTGCTGGGGCCGGTGTGCATCCTCTACTTCTCACCTTCCCTGCCTCTTTCTGTCACTGTCTCTTTGATGCTCATATAACCCCCAACGAAAAGCATGAGGTTTACAAAGAAATTATAAAACAGCACTGATGGGGCGCCTGGGTGGCTCAGTCGTTAAGCGTCTGCCTTCGGCTCAGGTCATGATCCCGGGGTCCTGGGATCGAGTCCCACATCGGGCTCCCTGCTCGGCGGGAAGCCTGCTTCTCCCTCTCCCACTCCCCCTGCTTGTGTTCC